AAGGTACTGTAGATTAGATTACAAATAAAATTCTCTGAAAAATTGGAGAAGAAATGTGCACAAGTTTTCTTAATAATGTGTATTTTATCGAAGGATGTTTGGCGACGCCTAAGGCTCATACGGCGTTTTTTCTGATCACGAGAGTGTAGAGATAGCGCCTCCAACTCGGATGGTGTTCTCACAGTTCCGCTGGAGATGCCCAAGGGCTCTTAAAATTTCCGGTTGTCTTGGCAACATCGTATGCAAGCTGAGCGCCATGTAAACAATTCGATCTTTCTGTCTCTACCGGCTCGCAGCGTATTGGAAGGGCCGTCAGACTGGAGGAAAAATAAACCTACTCTCTTAGCATTTTAATCCAGTAAATGTCACTTAATTGATACCACTTGGCAACTATGATCTTGATGTTGCCCTATCTTCAACAAATTGGTCTCGATATGATATGATGAAGCTGTTGCAATTTTTTCTAAAGCAACGAGCGTTGTTTTATTCCTAAGTTATTTTGGTTAGAAATTATGGTTAACGCGATTTCCACAATCACAGTGTAAAATGCTCCATTCATTTCGCTGTGGAGAATATGTAAGGGTGGGGAGTTCAATGAATTTTTAAGGCATCTGAAAGAGCCAAAAACGCGTAGTTTCATAGGTTTCGATTTTTTTTTCTTTTTTTGAAAATTTATGACAGAATGATCCAATCTGCTGACGAAAGCTACAAATTTTCAGCCTCCTGTTTCAAAAAGTATACTACTAGATTTGATCAAGCACACAAGAGTTACCCTGGCTTTCCTGATTTTTTTCATACCTCTCCTTGCGGATCCCAAAATGGCTACACCACGATACATTTATGTACCTACATGTTATGTACATTTATGAATGTAACTTACATATACATGTGACATTACAAACAGGTCTTCAAAAAATAAATAAATAAATAAATAAATAAATAAATAAAGAACAAAAACAAACAAACTGTAGGCTGCTCGGTCCGGCGTTCAAATCCCGATAGTAGCGACATACTTTCTTGGTATTAACGAGTGAATTGGCTGAAACGGATACCATTAGCTCCGAAACCTGCGAGAAAGAAGGAAGTCTCTTTTTATGAAAAATAATTTGAAAAGTTTGAAAGCCGATGTTAAATAAGAGAGAGTATTTTGTGATGCTTGTTTCTATTAGACAAGCAGAGTGACATCAGCCGCAGGTCAAAAATCCGAATTAAAGCGAATTCTAGCCATCGTATATTTTTGAAGCAAAATACTCAAAAATACGTAGAATTTTAAGCTTGGGGAAAATTGGTAAAATTGTCGAACATTTATCTTGATAAAAATAGGGATCAAAAGCTCTGTTACGATACAACTCTCTGCAACAGCCTTATTGTCAATCATGATGGGGAAAAAGTCATCATTCATCGACCTGGCAACAGTGCCCACGACGCATGGCTCTACTACGAGATAAATAAGGTCTGAAGGATTTTTTTTCAACTGGACTAGTTTCTTCTGTCACGTTTTACTTTAAATTTCTCTCATTTTACTTTCGTTCGAAGTATTTCCAGCTGATTTATTCGTTTGCTTTTTATACGGACACGCGACGTAATATTTCATCGGAGAATTACCTGGATTGAATCTTCCTCGATCCACCGCTAATTTTGGAAGCTCCATATTACGATTAATTGGACAGCGTTCATCCGAATAATGTCATCCTCTTTTTTTCATGAACTCTCTGCAGTGTTCGTGTCTACCCACACTGGGGCTCAAGACGAAGGGTATTAATTTGTTTCATGCTTTCTAGATGATACTTCCCGTAATGATGAACCTTGATCTCTTGCGACGGATGATCCTAAAGACGTAACGTAAAATACGTAACGCTACCGGGACAGGGCGAGGATTTTTAGTTCTGTTAAAATTTTTCACGGCCGATTAGAGGCTTAAACTTAGAGTGACATAACGTTTTAAACGCCAATTTTTTTCTCTTTTTATCTTTTTTTAGGGTGCGAATCAGTACCAATATTTAGAACCCCAAAAAATAATTTTGTCATCAGAAGGCTTTATTTTGATCAATACTAAATTTCTAGAAATAATTAAAGCGTGTTTTTAAGTGTTTTTAGAAAAAAACGATTATCCTCACTTGGGAAATCCTTTTTAAAAAAGAAAATATATATAATTTTTCATTTTGAAGATAAAAAATCAAAGGATTAAAAGATTTTTAAAAGTCCCATTTTTAACGACAATCTCTACATTTTAGAAAAAAAATTGAATAACTTTGCTTACATACGTTTCGAAAATGAATTTATGAAATCAAATACAAATCCTTTTAAAATAATCCAAAAATGCATCTAAAACTTGAAATGTCTTTCATTGACTTTTAAAAATGCTAATGGACACATTTTAAGAACGCATTCATGTCATCGTACTCGCCTTCCTTGTAAGTAACCCTTTCAAAGTCGTCCTCGTTTTAAAGCGACGTTACTGAAACATTTTAATGCTTCCATAGATACTTCACAAGCATCTCTCAAGTGCCATTTTGAAAATGTAAAGTCAAGAAGCAACCCTGAACACCCTAAATCTTTGAATAACATTATTTTGCAGGAGGTATGGGAGGTTTTGCTCCTAGATTTGTGGTCAGTTCTTCAAATATTCGATTTTTTTCTCTTTTGTGATGAAAAGAAGGGATGCTGAGATACCGGCTTCCTCCTGAGGGAAAAAGGGTTGTTTTACGCAAAGCAAAATCTGGTCCACGCTGGCCTAAAAATATTGCGAGGTGGCCTCTTCCTGTTGCTGACCACATATTGTGCAAAAAAGAAGGGAAAAAAAAAACAGGATTTGCATTCATTAAATCGAGAGCAGTTCAATCTTTACCAGTTCTGTTTAAAACCCGGCACCTTGACCCAATGGAAAAATAAATTCAACGAAGAGGAGCCCGCTGAATTACTCAGGCTTACCCGTGCTTTATTTTTTTCGCATTCGTCAACATCTTCATCGTGTATTCGTTTGATTTATTTGGTGGGATTTGAAGGAGGAGAGTGAATAAAGTGTGACAACGAAAGGAAACACGGTGACATTTCGTTGACAGCATCAGTTGTATGTCATCATGGATTTCACCAATGAATTCGCTGCCTCTTGACCCACTTGTATACGCTCATGTTTCTAAAATATTTTTTCGGTTCAAGTGCGGATTTGAAGGATCTTTCTTTTATAGCACATGCTTATATATACTTATTCCCTCATTTATTTTAGCTTGTTTATGATTGTCAAAGTATGGACCAATACTGCCATGCTAAGGAAGAACGCCGTATGAACATTCGAGAGTTGCCAAATTTCCTTCGATAAAATTCTTATTTTTAAGGAAAGTCACGAATATTTTCCTTTGACATCTTCAGGAACTGTGGGTGAAATTGCAAACAATAAAATCTGAAAAAATGGGAGGGAAATATTCATAAGTTTACCAGGAAATTCGAGTTTTATGAAAGGAAATTTGTCAACGCCTGAAGGTTCATACGGCGTTCTTCCGTAGCACGGCAGAATAGGCAAGGTACGAATTAAAGCATTATGATGTACGAATCCTCCTCAAAACTTCACAAAGAACACGATTTGAGCGACATAAATCGTCGTTTACCTCACGAAACAACGTAACCTCATTTCGGTGTCGCCAGATTTTCCCGTGCAAAATTTCAGTTTTACCACGAGAATTGTGAGAATTTCTAACCGAAAATTTCACCAATTTTTCCTCAGATCTCATGTAAAACCAGACAAATGTTTGGCGAAAATTGTGCAGGTTTACTCTCGTAAAAATTTGAATTCTTTAAGTCAATTTTGCATCCTTGGAATGGAGCTACGTTTCTTTGTGTGGGGAAAGACGAAATGACTGATATTAAGTCAAGCCCCAGATAATGACGTTTCTATTAAGCTTTGGTTACGAACACTTTTGAATTTCCAACTCACAAGAAAAACCAAAGTCTATACATGAATCAAATCGCTCAGCACGACGGCGTTGATAGGCTTCGGCTTCCCAATCTAGCAGTGTTTCTTCCTCACCCTGTCTTGTTTACGTGCAATAGCTGAGCCGAAGCGTCAAAAGTGGGGTTGTCACATTTTCATACCGCACAAATTGTCAGGGTAAAGTTTAGTGTGCAATTGTACACAAGTAACGTACTGTTTGTTCTATGAGCGGGTAGTTTGAATCTACGCACCAAAAAACAATAATATCTTGGTTAGAAGTTACTTTCAGTACTTTTCGTTGTATAAATCATGTTCTGCGTTAAATTTTGAGGTGAAAATATATATCGTCATGCTTAAATTTACACCTAAGTGGTCCATTAAACATATGTGACGAGCGGTGCGCAATGAAGGTCTAGAGACTTAAACGCACGGTAAAGAAAGTAAGCGGAATCCTGCTATATGTACTTTAGAGACCACGCACAGATATCTTCCCTAAAGAGGAAAATTTACTTTTGGAAGTCAGAAATCAAATTTTCCTGATGATGATTGATGACTGATGACCGAAGATTTGAACTATTGATTCAGCAATTTAAACAAATTTGAATGATTCCGCAAAACCTCGCCTGGTAGAAAGCTCACTCCGACATCCATCAGTCATCATTGGACGAATTTTATTTGACTTTTGCTCTACAAGTTGCTCATCAGTCATCATTAAGCGATAACTGTTGACCTCCGAACTTAAATTTTGTCTTACTAGATTAGAAAAATTACTAGTTCAGTCAGTTAGCTTGGGGTGCCTCTAAAATATGTTTTCTCTGAAGCAGTGGCGTGGTGTGAATGATCGATTATCGATATTTCCTCATTTGTAGGTATGGTAAGGAATCGATTATTAAGGTGTCCGCTGCGAACATCCTGTTTATCGATACTTTTCCATAGGTTTAAATGGCAGATCAATCGATTTATCGCAAAGCACGCCACACCGCTGCTCTGAAGTCGATGCTTGGGCGGCATTCGTCAAAGAACCTCTTAAGTTTTTGGGCCCGGCGAGTTGAAACCACCATCACCACAAAACTTCGTAAGAAATACTTTTATTACATTTGAATTACAACAACAAACTTAAATTTTACAGGTTCATTTTTCAATTTCTGTGGACTAGACATTTTCTTACTGGGTTAAACATTATACCTCAAATATCAGTCAATCACTGTGTATTTGAGCAATTTTTCTCTTTTTTTTATCAGTTCTTGACAGAGGATTAGACATTTTAGAGTGAGGAAAGAAAAATCTGTCTTTCATCTGTTAGAAAAAGCTATTTCAAAGTTTGTACTCCATCTCAAAAACTCCATCTGGGATTGTGCCAGGACACCAGTACTTTAAGGGGGATTTTTTTTCAGTTACGTATGAAAGCCTTAAATACATTTTTAACTTGTTCATTTACATAGCTATTCAAAATATTCGCTATTTTACTATATGTGGACTGAGTTTAACAGAAACGCAGTAAATCGCAATCAATAAATCATTTGGGAGTGATTTCAAATTTACCAAGAGTTAAATCGTCTCATGTCAAAAATTCAAAGCCGATAAAAATATTTTAAACATGAAAATAGCAGTTAAACTTTGTCCTTAACATCGAATCTCACGGAGGAGTGAAACATTAAACATCCTTAACTCGGTTCGATCTTGACGTGACTTGGTTCTATTTGCTGGGACTCAGTTTGGTATTGCTTTGTTGAAACGCAAAACGCCTTCAATCTCGTCAGATAGGCAACTCTGCTATCCATCGAGCACGAATAGTTGTATCTAGTCTATGGCCAGATTTTACCGTGCACGCCGTCGCCATGATGCCTGCTGTTGAATTCGATCTGGTATTGCTCTGCGAAACAAAACGCCTTCAATTTCGTTGGTAGGCAACACGGACGTCCGCAGAGCACGAATAGATGTATCCGGACTATGGCTCGATTTGACTTCGCATGCCACGATGCCTGCTGTTGAACTCAATCTAGTATTGCTCTGCGGAACGAAACGCCTTCAATTTCGTTAGGCAGGCAACACGGACATCCGTAGAGCACGAATAGTCGCATCTAGTTTTCGACCGAACTTTACGAATCCTCATAACTTCGAACATTAAAAACATTCGGAATTTCGAACATTCAAAACTGAAAACATTGTTTCTCGGTCTAAATTTGATGGCACTCGTTGTGTTTCTGTTAAACTCAATCCAGTTCATCTACGGGATCGCTTTTAGTATAGGATTCCACATTTGGAGGAATGACTCTCAAAGAAAAATTTTTATGTCTTCCTTCTAAATGCGATACAAAACAGAAAATTAAGTTTCATCATAATCATTGAACTTTTAGGCAAACCAAGCTGCTAATTTGATAATGATGTATCATCCTAAGGTGCCGCTATTAGATTTCATTGATTTTTTACATGTTTCACCTCTGATTTCTCCTAACATCATGATATGATTTTATTAGTATGCGGATGACTTATCATCTAATTCCATTTTAATACATCTGGCTTTAGACTTCTTTCACAAAACAAATATACAGCAGTACAATACATACATACATCCTTGAACAAAACATATCCTGTGCGAGGACTTATCTCCAAAATCGAACGTCCAAATTGCAACATTTTGGATTGTTTTGACAGTTTATTTGGCATTGGAACAAGTCGACACTGGAACTTGACATTTTCACCCATCTATGTCATTTCTCGTGGTCATCCAGTCAATATTCCAGACATAACGTTGGTTTATTTTGCATCCAAATATTTAAATATATTAAATCCAATTAAATTGCATATTTTAAAAGTATGAAACTGTGCAATTGAGTTGCGTGGTTTTGAAGATAAGCCATCAACTTATCGTTGCAAGCTGACGTAACAAATTACTGTTTCCAACTCTTGAAGTGACAATATTTTTCCTTTTAAGCGTAACAAGAATGTAGTAGCTTCAGGATTTTACTTTGTATAGCCTTCAACGGTAAAGGAAACTTTTCGCGTGGCAATCTGATTGTCATGTCTAATGTTGTTGTTTCCCAGGTTACTCCATTCCAAGGTTGCAAAACTGCCTAAAAAAACTCATTTTTAAGAGAATGTAACCATTCAATATCCGTCAAAAAATTGGATTATTTTTGCGTGAGATCTGAAAAAAAAATTGATTCCATTCTCACTTGCAGATGCTCAATTAATAGTATCCTGTTAAGAATATAAGTAACACATGGACATTTTTCAACCTTGGAATGTAGTTACATTTCCTCGGCCGGGAAAAGACATAGTGAACCAAGTTCAATCAATGTGAGTCAAAGGCAATTTTTAAAACACGAGAGATTACCCAGAACAAACTGAGAAGTGCTACAGGTATATGGAAGCCAATCAAATACACAAGTAAGTACAAAATTTACACTGTACAGCTTTAAAAGCTTCATACTATTCCAGCAATAGTGAAATATATTTATTTACATCAAGTAACTTTGGTATAATAGCCATACTACCTTTTCAGGCTGCATTGGGGACCAGTGATGAGTCTCGCAAGTTGACGAACACTGGGCTTTGTCCATTTAAATGTATGTAAAAATATTGATATACATATCGATCCTGCTTCAGTTGAAATCGATAAGTTATTTAAAATTTAAAAAAAAAATTAAAATTTTTTTTTTTAAAAATTACAATTTTAAAAACTTTTGAAAAACAATTTGTGAAAACACTCACTTGCATAAAATGTTTTGACGGAGCGGACGTGTTTCGGAGGCTCCTGTCCTCCATCATCGGCGCGACTCTCGTACGCGAGTTACGTACTCTTGTGTAGTGCTTTAAACTCCTTAACCGTTTCCATCGATAATTTATGATAGGTTTAAATTGGAATCGATAATGTATATTTTATTTCAATTTAAATGAATGAACACGCATATCGACAACTTGCGATACTCACCGCCAGGGAGAACTTTCATTTAAACAAATACCTACCTCTACACGAGATAAAATAACAAAAAATAATATTTACTAGGGTCAACTTTATAAATCCTACCTTAAATCTAAATAAATAAAAATAAATATTCAAAATTTTTACAAAAAATAGTTTAAAACATATAAATGATAGGTAAACAATAGTGTGTTTTTATTTAAGACGCAGGATGATTTATCAAATATGAGCTTAAATATTTTTTCTCCGCGCTTATTTTGAAAGATAAAAACGAGGAAAAATATAAACGAAAATTATTTAAATTGAAAGCGCACTTCAATACAGATAAAAGGGGGAGAAAGGATTAAAATTTTAAAAAGCTCCAGCATTTTTACCATTGTGAGTCCATTACATATTAGAAACACCGAGCGCATTTTTTGGAAAACATATTATGTCGTAAAGGTATGATGTTCGATAATCTCTACATTTCCGTGTTATGATTAAATTAAGAGAGTCAAGTTTAAAGTAGCATGCTGTAGAGCAATTAAGCTTGTTTTATTCCTCTCTTTACGTGTTGTAAAAAAGGGCCACATTGGCTATTCTCGAACAAAAATTTGGGTAATGCTCAACAATTATACTTGGATGTTCTCTTTTAGAATTTCCATGTCTCAACTCACAACAGAACCTATGTTTCATCACATGAAGTTTTAAATGATCGCAGGATGCTGGGCATCTTTCGCCCTCCAGCATCCTATAACTTAATGGAAATCGATTTCCAGTAATCCCGACATGGATGCTTTTGCAATGGCATTGAAAAAGCCGGCTACATAAAAACATATTTCAAACCGGAAATTTGGTGGGACCTATGGTAACCCTGAAAAGAAAATACCAATGTCAGTCAAACACCCATAAAGTTATGTCGATTCCGAGTTAGTGGACGAATATCACTGTTAGGTCAAAGTAAAACAAATCTGAAACAAAAATCGAATTCGTTATTCAATAAATTGAAATTTAGACAAAACAAGATGAACTGATGGGAATGATTTCCTATAGTCGAAGCTCATACAAATTAATTTCGACTGAAATCATACGGAGATTATTGAATCTAAAAGCGAAAATAAAGTGATTTAAATGGTGCTGTAAAAGTGGAACGACTCTATTGTTTCCTGCTGAATGAGAAAGAAGGGGGAAAGGTCTAATTTGGTTCCAGTCGTCGCAGTATATAGCAATAAAATGTTTAAAACATCTCCAATTATAAAAACTAAATTGATTAGGTAGATTACCAGAATGTTTTCGATCACAGATTGGTATCGAACAATAATCTTTCAAGCCTTGTTGCTGAATTGTGACTCTACAAAATCAGACTCAGTTTAAAACGCCTTCATTTTATTGTGATGCAACAAATATTGCATCTCTGTTGCTTGTCGAGCAAGTTGTCCTTTACTTTGTCATAGGCATTGATTCGTCCTATTCACGGGCCACAAAAAAGTCTGATAAGACTGAGATAATTTGCCCCCTCAGAGTTGTAAATAATTTAGTTCATTACAGCTACAATATAGTAATTGCCTCAAAATCTATGAGAACCCCAGCTTACGTTATAACACATTTGTAACCGTAGTGCTTTCAGAAGAGTAATTTTCGTGAAATTGGGTCGAAAAATATTTTGGATTTTAAAATTTTAAAGAAAAACCATCTAGAATCCAAAAGGAAATAAGTTGTGAGGATTTTGATTAATTTTTGGCCAATATAGGTTGTAATGTAAGGTCATTTTATAATTTAACAGTTTTTTTGTCCATAACATGGCAGATTAGAATTGCAGGGCTTGGAGAACAAGGCGCATAAGTGCAATTTTTGAAAAAGTTGATGTATTAATGATTTCAATGAATGTGCAACAATCGATTCTTGGTAAGGCAGCTGACCTTACCTAAGATCGATATTTTCAATTTATTTAAATGGACGCAAACAGTGTTGGCAATTTGCAAAATCGCCACTGCACCAGGGAAAATAAGGCAACGTTTGACGTATTTTGGCTGTAAAATCCTCCTGTAAAATCCTGTGTAAAATCCTGTATGTTAAGAAAGAAACTATAAATTTGAGACACGACTTCCCCAAGGTTTCTCTGTTTTACAATTAATTTGATATTTTGAAAGTCTATATATGTATTTCATATTACTTCCTCGAGTTAAAAATCGATTAGTGACTTACATTCATTAATGTAGCTGAACGAAAACAAAAATCAAAAGAGTTATCCAGACTAGATGTACCGATTCCATATTGGAGCTCCTATTATCTGAAATCAAACAAAGATAAACATTTCAGTCAATACAACATTAAACCTGTAACTAACAGAAAGCTGAAAATTCATGTAGAATAGAAAACATTATGCAAAATAAATCTGGATGTCTGAAATTGGATGTTAGAAAGACAATCTTGAGTGTAAGGCATCACTCTGATGAAACCATTTAAAATTGTCCTTGAGTTTATGTGCTTAAGTGCTTTATATCAGGAGAGAGTAGTTCTTCCAGCTACAATATATTTGCAAATCCGTTGGTCAATGGGTTGGGAAGAAAAAATCAATTACTATCATCAAAACTTTCAACGATTTCAGGAGCAATTACCCAGATACTTCGTCGGCGAACTGTACGTTTTAAGATGATATTTAACTCGAATAAGTCTAGCGTGGCAATAATCGAGCATTTTGCGAATTATAATGAGTGACTTCACCTGAGTGTTGCGATTAATAATTACTTATGTCACATCACGTATGTTTCCGTGGCTACCCATGTCAGAAGTCCTTCTACACACGATCACACCAAACGTAATAACTCCTTCAATCCTGGGAACTCACAACATGCAGTGGTGTCTCGGAAATGGTATCATGCTGAATTGAAGGCACTCCTAATTATAGGGGTTTCACAGTCACAGGCAGGACTTACCACGATCATTATTCCTTACTTTTTCAAACACCACTAATATTCCATAGCTCCTTGGCTATTTTTTTTTTCTTTTAGCCATCGCAAACCATATTTGTCCATGAAGACATTTGGAAAAACCTTTACCATTTTCAGATGATACTGGTTCGGATTTTCATAAACGTCACCAAAATTCAGAAGAACCGATTATTTTTTAGAAATATTGAGAAAAGTTGTTCCTCCAAAAGGGAAGACGTTCGGAAAAAAACTTTAACGAAAGAAAAATAGTTGATTTTAAACTATGTAACACGCTCCTGAAGTTGGCACTGAGAGAAACATTAATGCTAAACTCGAGCTAATCTAAAAGGAAGCACACCAAGTAACCCAATTCCTCGGTTACCTCTAGGGTTTATTGGTTTTCCCATTATTTTTTGTGCTAAATTCATCGCATTCTGTATCAAAATCGACACAAAATTTGAAGTGGTTCGAGTTTCATTCCATATATCGTGGTGTTTCGGACGACAGAACGTAACTGCATGTCACACTTACCAAATTTCATTTCACTTCATTTTCACATTACGTATGTTTATTTTTTCATACTTTACTTTCACTCGGAAAGTATCCGACATTTTTTATTAAAAATCTCACAGATTTTTTCATGGGTTGTCATGAAGAGGCAGGAAAATATTGGACAGAAAATACACAGTCATTGTTCTATGAAATAGACGTACTTAAATCAAAAGGAACTACATCCGTTCTGACATGAGCCACGGCTCTCTTTACGATTGATGTAGTTCCTTTCGAATTCATGCGTTCAAATAAAGAATTTTGTTACTAGATTTTGCAATTCTGGAATAGAAATACGTCCTTTCGTCTAAGATATGACGATATTGCCTGAAAATAACTCGAGAATATATAATGTTTTCTTTGGTGAGACGGTTTAACCACGCGCCACGGGTCCTATAGGACACCCCGTATTCAATGAAAGCTCCAGCCGATTAAAATAAGAATTTACCGGAGTATATCAATATATTCTAGGAGTGTTACGACATACTTTATTTGTCACGACAAGCTTCTACTTCTCTCAATGCCGGAATCCCGTTGACTTAGACTCCCTTCCGGGAAGCCGTCATAATTATAAGGTATGCAGTGGCTAGGCGTGAATGATCGATTATCCATGTTTCTTCATTTGAAGCTATGGTAAAGAATCGATCATGAAGGTGTTCGTCGCAAACACCCTGTTTATCGATCCTTTTTCATAGATTGAAATGGTAGATCAATCGATATATCGCGGAGCACGCCGGGGCGCCGCGCGGACTAAACAAACCCGTCGCAAGTTGTGTAAGTCTCGACGAAGTGCCCCAACTTTCACCCCATTCCGAGCCGAGTTTATTAAAGAATCGCTGGAAGGCGGGGGTGGAAAACCGCCATTGTTGTCGGATAGTCCTAAAAGCCAGCATTTTCCCCCATTTAACCGCATGTAAAATATTCACAGTGTAGCGTGCGACCTGGCAACGTTGGAAACCGCGGATTAAGAGCGGAAAAAAGCGGAATCTTGGCGGAGTTGGGAATTGATGTGACAGTTAGAGACGGCAGCGAGATCACGAGCAGTTGTTATGACAATAAGTCGCTCTCCTGTCGTAAAGGCGTACCTCCATTTTGACGTGGGACGTGAAACGTATTGGGTTAGAAGGATGAAAGGGTTGTTCTGAAATTGCAGATACGCTGTTATGTTAAGGAAGCGGGAATAATCCGAGAGAAAATGAGGCGCGAGTCGAGATCCTGTCGGATCCTCTTTGAGGGGTCCGTTTTCAGGAACTTCCCTTTGTCGAATCGGTCCGCAGTTTTGTAACATTTGCGGTTCTCTGGTGGATGCTTCTAGGAACAAATTTATTAAAATGTAGCGTTCTTTATACTAAAAACTCATAGAAAACGAAAAAAGTAAAGTTGGAAAATGGAATGCAGCTTTTAACAAATGGACGTATTTAAGCTAAAAGGAACCTATTATGTACCGTATTATGCTTAAAAGCATAGAGTTTGCGTACAACATAGTACCTTTTAGCATAAATACGTCCAAATAAAAGTCGCTTTACCGCCCCCATTGCAATACACGAAGGATACATATTGATATTTCCTACTTTTCCGATAACAGGTGTGAAGTTGCGTTTACAATAAAAAAATCTAGAGTCCCTATTAAACTAAATCGAGACAATTTTTCAAAATTTCAATTTTTCTCGTCGCATTCTTTAAAGCTTCCAAGACTTTATGTCCACCTACCTTTCGTCCATTAAATAAATGGCCACCGCTATTTATGTCCACTAAACGTTAAATCCAGTCTTTATTAAGTCCACATGATTTAATGTCCAACCATGAATATGTCCAGAATCGTCCAAATTGTGGACATATTATGTTGTTATGTCCACATTTGTTTCTTCTCATTTAAATGACAGAAACCACCTCAGAAGTAAATGCATACTACTACTACCTTCATTCTTAGAAAACATTTCATTCATGAATTAAGTCATGAAAGAGAACAGACTCTAAGAGCAGATAAAAACATATGTTCATGTGTACACTATACGGATATGATAAGATGAAAACCAAAGCGGGAACCTACGAAACACTCCAATGCCAAATTAAACATTTTTCAGTAACAGATGCAGTCAAAATTGAAAGTCCTCTTTAACTAGTTATTTCGTGCGCCTTCGATCTTGTAGGATACTGTGCAACGCCTCTGACGCGAAATAGTTGCTTAAAGCGTTGCGGCGCGGCAGGCAATCAGCGCAGAACGCGCACTGGCGCCTACAAACCTAACGGGATACTTCACACGTTGCGCAATGCGTCAAGTATCCCGTTAGGTTTGTAGGCGCCAGTGCGCGTTCTGCGCTGCTAACACGCCGCTCCGCTCGTGTTAGGCTCTAATATTTAAACTCGCGGAGTCAGCGTTTTTCAACTCATGATTTTGAAATGTTTGCACTCTCTGCATTGATTATTCTCTTTTAAACTGATGAAAAAGAAATATGTACTACTGGAAAATATAATGTGTTTTTTGTAAATATAATAGTAGTTCCGTGTCAAATTTAATGATTTCCAAAGCATTCAATGTTTATTCTTTTATGTTTTGGGCTTTTACTGTGCTACAGCGTGGTGTAAGCGCAACCAAACGCTCAAAATTGGATGTATTTGACTTAAGGAGGTCGATGTTCAAATAAGTTAAACACAAAAAATTGCGTGTTTCTTAGTTTTTTTCCTCTTTTATAAATTTTTGTATAGTTTCTTTCATCGCAACTACGGCTCATTGAGATTCATATCGATGCCATTGCTAGGAAAAGATTTTACAAATATTTACCACGTTTTAAAAATGTAAATGTTTTTAAAATGAAGTAATCAATTTCATTAAAAAAATAATGTACATTGAAGGCATATTTTACATCGGAAATTTCAAGGATAGAAATTAAACCAAGTATTTACCAAAGACAATTTGAAAAGATGAATCAAAAGAAGAAATTAACATTTCATTTAAAATATGAGTTACGATAACAACACCTGATTCTCTCTTAATTTTCTCATTTCGATATTGTCAATATAACTTTACACACGGACTAAAATATAACGCTCGAATTTGATTTTAGTGGACTTTACATTTGTGGACTTAACTTAGTGGACGTTCAAGTAGTGGACTGAACAATAGTGTGGGCTTTAGAACTGTGGACGTAAAAATTGTGGACGAAAAGTCTGTGGACGTAAAAAAAGTGGACATAAAATCCGTGTACCTCTTTAAAACGTCATTACGTCAAAGTTTCATTCGATATTTTTAAGCATTTTAGTGGCAGAATGTGTGTGCTCTAGAAAACAAAGTTTCTTCAATCTAAAGTTCAGACTTTTTAAAATAAAATTCAAGGAAAAATATTCTTGATCTATTCGAATTTTTGCTTGAATCAAAAGGAAATCTGCTTAAAGTAAAAGGCTTGGCCCTCGATTCAAGCTAAATCCGACTGGAGCAAGAGCATTGTATCTTATCAAATTTTTTAAGCGTCTGGACTCTGGATCCAATACATTTTGTTTCCCTATTTTATACGTGCGATTATTAATCCAAATGAAAATGCTAACTAGATAACTCTACCACACGTATTCTTACAAGAGTGCTCAACTATATTATGTTTTTATTTAAAGAGGGAAAGAGTAACAAAAAACAGATCAGGTACACACAACTGGAAAAAAAAAAAAAAAAAAAAAAAAAAAAAAAACTCGTCGCGGTTTAAAAAAAATCTTAATGAAAGACGATTTTCTTATAAAGAAAAACCAATGCTCTACCGTGACGATGCTTCAGAGAATACATTCATCGAAAATGCTAGCAATCAAAACGCCTGCAATACATGCACACCACACGCAGCTCACGCATATTGCATCCACTCCAATTGAAGGCGCTTCGTCGGCCGTCAATCCAATACGAGCACACTTACTTGCATTCACCATTCTATCCCGGATCCCGGTGGATTTTCGCCGTGACGTGGCCGTGGCGTCGGAAGGGCTCACCTGTCACGTGGCTCACAATGCGAGATGCACAGGTAATTAGCCCGGGTAAGCCGATCCGGAATGAAGCGGGGGAGCGAGGCGACGCAGTTGAGATTTCAGGGGGCGGAGCTCCAACTTCGTGTGAGCACTTAATTCGCACCAGATTGCACTGATAGGGGTGCAGGAGGGAGGGAGGGCGGGGGCGGGGGAATCGCCTCGCTCCCGTGTTGCCACCGGCGACTCGAAAAGGGAGGAGGAAGTCACACAGTGTTGCGAAACTGGGTGATTCGTCAAGGATAAGACGTGCAGGGATAAAGTCAGATTTGAGAAAGATGCATTTGAAATTGTACTGCTCCCAAGACGCTCAAAGTACCTGTCAAATTTTTGAATTCGAACTGGTCAAAGAAAGCGTTAACCACTTAGGACTGGATTTTCAATTAAGCTACATAGGCTTGAGCGCAACCCTCTGATAGGCGCAACATGTTTGAGATTTCGTTCCAAAATGTCAGTACCTGTGTAATAAAAATACATTCCTCGTATCTTCTGTCACTTTCAAGTCTAAATCCAGTTTTCTCAGGCGTTTATATTTTTTTGCAAGGGGTACCATCAAAATTTTTAAAGACATGCTTTTCTAAAGGTGGATTTTAAACATTCTCCGCGTCATCCTACACACCTATCAGCCTCCTTTCCGGGGAGGGGGGGCTGGGATACCCACTCACCACCTGCCCCCATTTACAGCATTTACATTACGGGTGCCATGGGTTCCAACCACAGTTCAGCCTAAAGCGTTAAAAGTGTAGATTCAGCCCTGGATACGTTACAGAATACTTGAACACCATCCCATCACTGCCGTGCTAAGAGAACACGTCGTATGAATATTCAAGAGTTGCCAAATTTACCCCTCAAAAATGATAATTTTTGAGGAATTTATGAATATTTTTCCTTGAAATTTTCAGGGACTTTATACGTAAAGTCGCTTAAAAAATTATATGAAAATTTGGGAAGAAAACATTCTTATAGTCACTGCGAAATTTAAGTTTTATCAAAGGAAAGTTGGCAACGCCAGAAGGTTCATACGGTGTTCTTCCTTAACACGGCAGAGCAGGTATATCAATTTTTCAGAGCGGCAACGTAGGGTAAAAGTTTATAAAGTAATTTATACGCGTTTAAACCTCAAGTCCGGAAACTATTTTCAGTATAACATTTTATCGAGCCCGGAAATTGTAAGACCCTTCAACAGCTGGTGCTCAATGCTCATTGCGCCCAACCTGTGAGGTCGCGCCAACGGAAGGTCCTCTCTCTCGCACCCCTATCGGCTCTCTGTCCGTTCTCCTCCTTTCCTTTTCTATCTTGTGCAGCGCGCGTTCCTGCAGGGACGATGCTGGGAGATAACCTTGAAAGTATAAAACCCAAGTGACCTACATTGACCATTGATTCGGACCTTACTTTTAGAGTTACTTGAAAGAGGTAGTATCGCCATAAGAATACGGCTTTTGATTGACTCCTCCATCTTTAGCTTTATAGAGCTTTTAGGACCAATAAATGACGGACACTGTAAGTAAATGTGAATACAAAATAACTTAAGATGTGCGATAGATATATTTGGGTATCGCATCGGGAACTATACTCAAATGCATTGCTCTTGCTCAGATGCATAAAATTGTTTGATTTTAAGGACCGGTAACGTTGTAATACACTTGAAAAATCAATACATTTTTCGGAAAATTGACAATGACTTGATAAAAATCTGCAACAGGTTACCTTATCGGCCCAATATGCGACCCTGAAATAAAAGAGAAAGAAGGAAAGCACCCTCAATCAGTATCGCATGCAACGATCACAAAATGAATTGCAATAAAACGCCTGGATGCAACTATTCGGGCTCAACGGATGTCCGTGTTGCATATGTTCAAAACTGAAGGCGTTTTGGCTTTCCAGACATTCACCGCTTCACCCATGCCACGGCAGCGGGCTACATCGAGAGGATTTGCGCTGCCGAACAGCCATCACACAAATATTCATTAAACTTTTAAGCTTGTTTATTTTTTGGACAGAGACTAGTTAATATCACGTAATTAAAAAATATTGTTACATTGCAATCAAATTTCCAACATAGATAAAGTTGATCCTGATTCCTTTTCTCAAGTTTCAAGGGCTCCCATTTGCGCAGCGAACTCCTACTTTCATTACGTCAAAAGCGCAAATCTTCATTCGCTTTTTTGGGGTACTTACGCTTGTAGACCTTTGCGCATTTGGAATTTTACAACAACTGTGTACAGCTCCACACCCATGGCTGTTCGGGCTCACATGTCTATTGCGTCACACTGAACTTTATTCCTCTCTTAAAAATGAACACTAAAATGTGAATCCCAGCTCCTTTAAACACCAAGCTATCATGCAAACATAGCAGGCAGCAAATCAAAATCGAGGCAAAGCGAAACAACAAAACGCGAAATGCAAGGAAAACAACGCAAAACCAGCGATGAGGCGTGAATGATCGATAATCGATATGTCCCAATTGGTAGCCATGGTAAAGAATCGATTATTAAGGTGTTCGCTGCGAACATCCTGTTCATCGATCCTTTTCCATAGGTTTAAATGGCAGATCAATCGATACATCGCAGAGCACGCCACGCCACCGCGCAAAACATCCCGTCGGCAAGCTGAGCAGATAAAGCGAAATTTGAAAATCTTACCAAGGTACGTTCTATGCTTGGCATTGCTCGTTAAAGTCACAAGCGGGTCTGGTGTTGAGGATAGAGGCCCTGCACCACAAAGAGAAGAACAAAAATACAAACAAACTCAACACAACGGCACAAAAAGCAGCTTTTGAGTTATGTCAAACGAACACACAAGTAAAGAGGGGGTCCCTGGAGACCCGCAGATCGGAAAGCGAAGTTCAAGGGACGAAATTAAAGCTTCGGTCACGGCGGGTGAAAATAAATCTTGCATGGCAGACAAACAAACAGTAGCGTGTTTCGTCGACTTTCGATATTAACTCATTTGTAACTATGGTAAAGAATCGATTATGTTGGCACACCCTGATAATCGAGCTTTTTTCACAAGTTTAAATGGAGGATCAATTGATGGATCGCATAAGGCACAACACACCACTGCAAACAAATTAAAGGCGCCCGCGTAAAAGCGAACATAGCGGGTGGACTTAAACCGCCAATTACAGGCTGCCTCGATTGTTTGAGTCCTCATACCTTTATTATTCGAACAATCATCAGGAGTGACATGTGCGCTACACTGCACGCTAGGGAAAAACGACGTATAATCACCTGGGCCTAATTTCGACCCGTAAATCATGAGTTTTCTGGATGGTTTTTATAATCCATTTTTATATTAGAAATATCGTAGATACTGAAAAAATTATATCGATGGCTAAAGTGTGACATCGTGTATCTACACTGCGGTGTTTCAAAATTTCCGCTCCTAGTTTATTTTATTGAAGAGGAGCGAGTCAACTTTTTAGCTTGTAATTTATGCAGAATATTCGGGTAACAGAGAATAAAAATAAAGGAGGTTTTCGAAAAATTACGATGACTTAAGTTTTTCAAGGAAAAAATAAAGTATGACGGGAAGTTTACAATGTTGCAAATGGAGATACGTGGTGTCACACTTCAGCCGTCGATATACCGCATGTATCTACACATGTACAAACTTTGTATTTACATTTTCGCTTTTTTTAAACAAATTTGTATAGGAAAAATATCTTAGATACAACGAGAGCTACCATTTTAACTGTTTGTGATATTCCAATTAGTAAGTTGGAGCTTAATACCAATGAGTTTGCTGTGCAAAATCAATAAGTTTGTGTGCAACACCAAATTTGGTTAGCTGAGCCAAAATCCACCAACCTTTTTTTTCCAGTATACGTTCAATCCTAGAGTACCTGTCCTCTATACGGGAGAGTATGGCAATCTCAATCCTTTTACTACAAAAAAAGTGTGCCGCTCTCTGATTGGTTGGCTATCATGGAGCCCTAAAGTTGGCCCAACGCAAACAAACAAGATGTTGACAAAGTTCTACAAAGTTCTAGACGTGATTTTGGATGTGGTGGACATGTTTTAATATCCAACTTCTAAATTGAGTTCGGATCGAACTTAGATGAATATTTATGCCAAAACTTAATCTTTGAGTATGATTATTAGGGTGGCCCACAAAAAATGAATTTCGGAAATTTATAAAAAATTGAGTTGAGATTCAAGTTCCTCGTTAAAAAATACCTCCTGACACCATGACGGTAACAGTCAAGTTTCATACGTTGGTGCGCCTTCAATTACATTTGATACCGTGCAATACTTTCATGGTGGAATAGTTGCATTGGCGCCTACAAACCTAACAGGGATACTGCATGCATTGCGCAGTGAGTGAAGTATCCCTGTTAGGTTTGTAGGTGCCAATGCAACTATTCCACCACGAAAGTATTGCACAGTATCCAATGTAATTGAAGGCGCATTAACGTATGAAAATTGACTATTACCGTCAATCACTGTTTGCCAAGTGGTAACTTCACGCCCACTAAAACATTTTACAGGGTCTAAATTTTCAAAAAAGATACTCATGGTATAATCACCGTGTTTCAGCGCACTTTTTTGATGGCTCCGGAGTTTTTTTTTTAGGTCTAGAGAGATGATATTGAAATAAGTCGAAATTCACGATTTTGCTCAGAAAAATGGCAACGTCGCAGCGTGTCAAAATTATCAGAAGGGGAGCATTGGGAGCATATAAGCTACTAATTTCACACTCTGATTATAATTTAGGCATCTGTAACGTTAATTTATCGAGAGGGAAAAATCATCAAAAACAGTAAAAAATTCGCTATTTTCATGCGTGAAATTTTCGCGTCGGGTCAAAAGCATGGAGGGGGTCCAAAACTTCACTAGGGTGTAGTTTATGAACTAATTTTGCCCTCTGTTTAATTTGCAGACCCCTCCGACATTATTTTTTGGGGAGCGAAAAATTACTGAAAAACAGTAAAAGTTCGATATTTTTCCTTGGATAAATGGCAACTGCGCGTCGGGTTAATTTTGTCTGATTGACCCAAAATTTCATTTTCCGTGTTTTTGAACATGCTGTAACCGATTTAGGGGGTTACGGCTATAAATTTCCGAAATTCATATTTTGTGGGCCACCATAATCATTATCTTTTGTGTGGCCATTCATTTCTCAGCCGATAATACGTGTCCCTCTAGGTCGGGTTTGTTTACATTGTCCAACTTTAGAACTCCATGATAGCTCCATAAAACTCCATGTAACTCCATAGAACTGATGAACCAACCAGAGAGCGGCACAGAGATGGCAATACTCTTCCTTATACATGTATTCTATTCAATCCCACCTATCTCATTCCTTCTATGCGCACAGGATTAAACGTTTTACTCTCACGATGAGCTTCCTTCTTATCATCATAATTATAATTTTTGACAGTTTAATACCACAGTAAAAACGATTACGTCACACAATTAACAGTTCAATTCGAGAAAATGTGAGGATAACTGGAGGAATGCTCAAGGAGGGTCGTTGGGTTTCCTCATCGACACGGGGCACGTATGCTATAACCCTTAAAAGGTTCATCAAAAGCGGGGGTGGAGGGCAATGAGGGCTTACTGACTGGGATTAAAATGAATCCATGATGAAGCGTCGTTGAGTTTTAACGACTTCACAGGATCGGGCGGGCGATGACAATAATAAAGCGAAATAACATTAAAGCGGTTTAGCGCGCGCAAAAATCAACTTCCAGCGTTAGTCTCGACCAAACTTGAGCAAAACGGATTAATAAGCGGGCAAATCTGCTCACAAGTTGCCATCTAATAAAACAAAATGATAATAAATTCAATTCCCTGTCCTTTTCAGCGAGGATTAAACAGAGCGTGATTTGATGGGGCTCCGCAGGAACTTCAACCCTACGCTCTAATTTATTCCGGGCGATAAAAATTGGACCACGTTCTGCAATAAGGAACTAATATTTCAGGCACATTCTGAAAGCAACGCATGTGCTCTTCATGTTCCTATGCAGACAATTTATTATTATTTTTCCTCTACTCTTTTACCCATTATTCTTCCTCCTCCTTTCCCACTTTTTGTAGATAGGTGCTTTTTTGGATGAACCAGAAACGGTAGTTCCTCATTGCAAAATCTTCTCCCATTTGACTGCATTTTGTAATGAAGAACCAGAATTTCCGACTCATACTTAAAAACACCTGTCTACATAGGATAACTAATGGCAAATGGTAATGCCTTTAAAATTAGCCAGAAAATGTGGTTTCTAGTTGCAAATGTCCTGTTATCCAATTGCTCCAGCCTCTGCATTCTGCGCCGTCGGCTTTCTATTGGATATTATGATATTTTGGGTAGGAAACTTGTAGCTTTAAAAGGAACATATTATCCTAAAAACACTGGAAAGAATAGTCACTTGAATGTCGAGTCTAGACTCTTAAAAACATTGACAAGAAAAAGTACTCTTGATTCAACTGGATTTTTCCTTAAATTAAGAGGCTTGGCTCTCAACTCAAGCAAAAATCCGACTGAATCAAGAGTATTTTTTCTTGTCAATGTTTTTAAGAGTCTGGACTCTAGACTCAGGCGACTTTTTTTCAGTTAAAATTTTAAATAATTTTTTTAATAGACCTTGTTTCCGTGAACTAATTTCTCGCATCGAGCCCAAAATTATATAATTTAAAATCCTTGAATGGAAGAATTTTGGAGACGTCCGAATGTTTATGCTCCGTTTCTCTTACTGACGATTCTTGCAAAAAAATTGGCAGCCTCTTTTATTTAAATGTATATAAAAAAATCGACTCTAATTGAGATTGGACTACCTCACCTAGCATCGATATTTATTATGAATTTGAACATTGCTGTCAGCTTGCCACTAGTTTTTCCTTAGGATCGGGGACAATGCTCCATCGGGCAGAGTGCGTGTCGCCTCGCTTACCGTCCCCTCTGATCAAAGGAATCCTATTCTATTCTCCCGCGCCGAGACGGACCACCCCTCCAAGTCAAAACAACGTACGTTACAAGGGTATCCGCGGCACATGCGGGGTTCTTCCTGAGCACGGCGGAGGGTTGGGGTAGGACCCGGGCGCTGACCGGAAATGGCTGGCGTGTGAGTTATGACGTAGTCGCGATCCGGAGCAGTTGGGCCCCGCTTCCTTTTCCGGCCAAGATTATGCTCAAATAATGGACGCTTCCTTCTCACATCTTCATTCATCGCTCGGTGTCGCCGCCCAAGCTGCCACGGATTTACGTCCCAGTCCGAAACCATACCTCGTCGCCCCTCTGACGCAAGGGCGTATCTCGGTATCTGCGCGAGCCCTGTTTTGCATATGGATCCATTATTTTCGGGGTTCAAGCGGGAATTGAGCTACGCCCTTACCTCAGAGGACCCACGATCTGACGGGCCAACTTGCCGGATTTTCAGAAGAGTTAGTTTCAATATGACTGGCAAGTCTTCTTGTGCCAGTTTAGTACTTCCAAAACGTCTTTAAAAGCGATTATTGAAATCGATAGACAAAGCTATAGGTACAGAAGATATGTAGCGATCCTATTGGTGGAACCTAGTGGTTGCAATAGACAAATGAGATACGTAAAGGAATAACCAACGGCAACCCAAGAGAGACCCTATGGTTCGTATTTTCCCCCGTGAGTCTATAAGAACCATCCATTTCAACTAACATGATCGCTGCATTTTCCCCGTGTCTTCTTTATCTATAGATTTATCTATTAATTTCAGTTACTGGCTCGTAGATTCGAGTATATCAGAACACCATTTTAAAACTTTATCGTGTGTGTACGAATGAATTAGATTGTGCACCATAATACAACAGTGTAGAGGAGGTTGTCAATTTACAGGTGAAAATCCGGGGTATCAATAAGCTTATTCCGTGGGTATCATTTTTAATCCGATACAAATCGGGTAAATCTGTGCTTGTCAGTGATACCTCAGCGTTGAAGAGGTGAGTCAGAAACGACTTGAAATTCACCGAAACTATGCTATTACAGATCACTGTTTAAAATGAAAGGCTTCAGTGGCACAAGTGCTGGTGATGGATTAAACGAAAATCTCCTTTGATGATCCATTGGACAAAGGATGGATTTTCATCACATTTATTGCACGTGCAATTTTTTTTTTTTATTTTTTACTTTTAACAGGACAAGCTTGTTAAAAGTTAAGACGAGCCACTCATCGAAAAAGACGGGCTTCTCCGTTTTTCAGACGAAAAAACGTAAGAACAATGCAACGTTGCAAAATGTAACTCACATATCTTATGTCTACCGAGAATCAGTTGGGCGCGCAAAAAACTAGAACAATTTTGTGCAGAAATTATGCAGTTGTATTTTTGTAAAAAAAAATAGAACTTCGAGCCAATTGTGTGATCTCGGAACGAAGCTTCGTTTCTTCGTCTGGGAAACGAAGGATTTCACCACTGAAAGAACCCCCAGCGAGTATTTTTCATGACAGGTTCAATTCTAATCACCCGAGTTCCAACTTTTAAGGCTTTACCAGTTCACACGAACGTGTAACTTAGGTTGATGAGATAGAATTATAATTCCAGAATACATTTAAGTTCAAGCTTAAAAGCTGCAAAAGTTGCATTAAAAAATCACGGAGCAATCTTTCCTAGTGGGTCCGTCTTACCCTCGACCCACGGACAATTTGTCACAGCTAATCGTCAGGCGAATGTGTCGCGTGCTAATCCACACGGAATTGGAAGGCTCACGCTAGGACGAGAGTTTCTCGCGATATGCGCCCACAGATCTTGATAAATAAAAGAGTAATTAAGGTTTCCCGGCTCCATAGCCTCTAGATTGCCGTGAAATTCTATAATTTGCTGCTTGAGTAGGTAAGAAATGAATTTCCTACGTGCTCCTCATGCAAGAAAACAACTTCAGTTAAAACAACCAAATTTGTTTCATATTTCCCACCGAATTATTTGAGGTCATTATAAGACCGTATCAATTAAGGTGATCAAAATCTGTGGTAGGAAAGGGAAGACTTCGGAGAGTCTCAGTTTGATGACTGTAAAATTTGGTTATTTGAACCGGTATTCAGCGCCTGTAACCGAGGATTTCAGTCACCTTATGCAAAAAATTTGGGAGGCTATATAAATTGGAGTTCAGTTGCGTTTTAGACAAAGTGTTTTCTTGTTATGTGCTGCTGTAATATGTTACAGAAAACTCGAACATTTTTGCTAGTTCTGTGTAAACAGACGGGGGAAATAAATAGCCTAAACAAATCTTTTTCTGTAGTATAAAATAATTAGACTAAGGCGTAACCGACGAGTCAGAGGGTGTAACCCTAGGCTAAAAAAACCTCCGACGATTCTGGTGTATTCATCAAATTCTAAGTAAGAAAACTTGGTTAAATCGAAAATCACCGACACATCGGATCATTGGCACGAGAGGACGCATTTGTATTTTTGCAAGCAAATCTAGAATATCATTATTGCTGAATACAGCAACAGCAAAACGACTCTTGTTAACGAAGCAACACCGCACAGTAAAAAGAGCCACTGAGAGTGGACGGACATGACATTTTTTACTAAAATTGCAAATTTTGATGTTTAGTTTGTTACAAATTAAATTTAAAGGGGTGCACATTAAAGGAAAATTTCCGAGAAAAACAATAAAACCATTTTTAGGTGTCTACGTTTTGTACCGGTGAAGATATGAGCTTTTAAAGTTTCCCAACCACGTCCAACCTCGACCACACGCTCGATTTGCCGTGCGTCGCAGCGATGAAAATTTTCGACCTTTTCTAAATGTTCCCCCGGCTATTTGATGATGTGTTGACGAGTCTTTATTGCCTCTTCAAATGAATTTCACACGCGGCACCACTTACCGTGCTCGCGTATCAATGTTCTGACCTTTTCTTTGGCCTGAATTGAAAGGCTGTGACTACCCCCCATTGTTTCCGCAGATTGTACGTATCTGCCCCAGATATTAAGAGCAGGAATGAGGACTTGACATCGAGTTGTTTGGCAACCCTTTTTTTAAGGATACGCAGCCTTTGATCAAATATTTGAGAGAGCTTAAAGCATTCGTGCTAAACATTGGTTATATTATGAGTAAAAAAAAGTTATCATCTGTGCTGCCTATGTATAGGGAGTTCGCTAGCGATTTTTTTTCTCGTTGTGCTTTGACAAATGAGCTTATGAAACAAAGAACTTTCAACTTAAATTTAGAGGCGATTCAAATAGACCACATTCTGGTATAAGAAACTACTATTCCTGACTCCTTTAGTCACTCCTCTGATGTAAGGGCGTGTCTCAGTTTCCGCATGAGCCCCAGAAAGTATGAATTTATACAAAAATAGGGCTCATATGGAAATGGTATATTTTGTTATTGCAAAATGTAGTCTAAATAAGCAACAGAGTTCAATTACATCATTGGAGACATCCTAACATTCAAAATCACTATTTTTCCGAAGGAATGTATTTGGATACTGGACCGCGGACCGCGTTTGACATAGAATGTAACCAAACCGTACCAACAATTGCCAAATTTTAACAAGAGAACGTTTGTGAGGATTTTTCTTAAAATGTTAATGAATTTGCTTCGTATTATGCAGATTATTCACTAAAATTTGCACAAAATTTTGCACAACTGTTTTTATGTAAAAAATAAAACTACCCTATTAAAGGCAGTAGCTGATGTGGCTTCGTTCCTATCTGCTTAACGCGGTCCGTTAGTGGTACCTTTCAGTTTAGTCTGAAGGGCTGACTGAAATTTTGAAGAAAATTCGGCGACACCAAACCCAGACCTCAATAGTAAACCATCATGCTTGAAAAGTGACTTCAACTCACAAAAGCCCAACTTTTATCAATCAAATGGAAAAACCCCGGACCAAGTGATTCGCTAACTTTAAACACTGCACACAATAACCACCACTTTTTGAGGACCCCTGTACAATGCGCAAAGAAAAAATGAAATGGCTGTGCAGTCCTCAAGAGTCAAGAAAATGTACAAAAACTCAATTTTCTCAAATACTTACTCGGTTGATAGGTAAATGATTTTCTTTTTGAATATTTTGCTTCAGGAATTTCTAAATCACAATCGAAGTTCGTCGGAGAGTCCAACTCTTCCTCGGAAACTTCTAATCGGGCGATGATATCGTAAACACCGTCCCGCTCAAATTTATCCACCAGATATTCACCCGAGTGCGTCCTGAAATCAGAATAGCGTAACGATGGTGAGAATGGCGTATCGATGGTAAAATTACGAAACCACATGATGTGGGACTTGGAAGGCAAGGCGCATTAGAGCAATTGTTTTAAAAAATAAATAAATTAATATTCTCGGCTAAAAGTAGTCTTGAAATATATTCTGTAAAAAAGTTGACTATATTTTGAACTTTTGAACACGAATTTCATTGAATAGTAAAAATAGCGCTTATGCACATTGTCCTTCTAATCCCTCGTATCCCAGTTTGTGAAGTTTTAGACTTCTTGCTGCATTTTAATTTTTGCGAAAGAGCCTCCCAAAATAAAGGCTGACTTTCGCCCCCTTTTCAGTATTCGATTCGACCATCGAACCAACGTTTAAGTGGAAGCTTATAATAACTGAAAACTCAGGAAAAAATTTCAAGATGAGTATAGGAACCGTCTTCGAGTTACGAAGGGGCAAAGGGGTCTAACCCCGGCCTTACTTTTCTCTATTTTCTTGTTGAGGTGAAGTGTCTACGGGGTTGTTATCATTGTTTACACATTTTATAAACACACCGGTTCCTACGTATTTTTACACGCAAAACCGAGTTTTAGTATTGACGAGTCAATATATCGGTCGGTTCTACCGATTTTCTAAGATTCTTTACGGAAAATCAACAAATTTTGGAGATTGAATTGTTCATTATTGATTCATGGATGACTAAATGCACCTAATATGACTGTAGTACTCCGACACCAACGAGATTTTTCTGGGGGGGGGGGAGGGGGCAGCCCCGATTCAAGGCCTCTTGGATGTCNCCTAATGGTTGCAAGAGGGAGCAGCCCCGGTTCGGAGCCTCTTGGTTGCCAGGGGGGGCAGCCCCGTTTCAGGGCCTCTTGGTTGCCTGGGGGGGCAGCCCCGGGGCAGGGCCTCTTAGATGCCAGGTAGGGTAGCCCTGGAGCAGGGCCTCTTGGTTGCCAGGGGGGGCAGCCCCGGGGCAGGGCCTCTTAGATGCCTGGTAGGGTAGCCCTGGGGCAGGGCCTAATGGTTGCAAGAGGGAGCAGCCCCGGTTCGGAGCCTCTTGGTTGCCAGGGGGGGCAGCCCCGTTTCAGGGCCTCTTGGTTGCCAGGGGGGGCAGCCCCAGGGCAGGGCCTCTTAGATGCCAGGTAGGGTAGCCCTGGGGCAGGGCCTCATGGTAGCCAGATGGGGCAGCCCCGGAGTTTTTTCTTCCTAATAATATCGAATAATATTGGTTTAATTCGTACCCTGGTGCCTGAAGTCAATGATTCGCCTTCAAATGACCGGGTATGCAAAATGACTGCCGTGCTGCAAGAATAGTGGTATCAGAATTTTGCATTATGTTTACGGATTGATTTGAAGGCGCTTTTCTGTATCCATTGTGAGAGGCCTTGTGGAATGATGTTGACCAAAAAGTTCATAATTTTAGGTTCTAAATCGAGCCGCATATTCGGAAAATGGCGAGGAATATTATTTTGAAAAATTAATAAAATTGTTTTTGGTCTTTACGTCTTATTGCAAAGAAGAATGCGCAGGTGGCTGGATAAGATGATGTATTTTAAGTCCCTTGGTTCGTTCATCGTATTCTGAAGCGAAACTGAATGTGTCGCCGTTTAAATGATTGCACTTCACTCAAAAGCGGTTGTGAATTTAAAAAGTTTCGCAGGGATAAAATGAGCTTTTTTTGATTAACTCTGAATAATCAAAATTGAAGAAAAGGTACTGTGTTCACTGGTCTATTACGATAGCGTAAAGCATGGATGGATTGAGCATCGATTACCAACTTAATCTTTTCTGATGAGGAATTTTAAGTGTGAAACCCTTTTTTCAGTATTTAAATGATCCAAATACACTAACAACTTGAAAACACTAATTGCGAAAATACGTATCTCCGATGAAGTATCGATTCTTAGTGCCAAAAACGCAAATCTCGGCATTTCTGCCGTATTTTCTAACAGTTCGGAAAATTATTTAATCTGCTGATGGAGTTTGAAAAAACATCTTATTCTTGCCATCCTCAAGAATTATTATCCTTCTACCGACAATAAAGAGGAATGAAATTGTTTAATTAACATTTGCACAGGCAGTGATTGTGATAGTTCAGTCAGTAATTTTTTTTTCCTCATTAATTTCTTCACCAACATTCTCAGGTATATATGTTGCAGGCAATTAGCAATCGCCGGCAATTTGCAATCTATTCGTGATTAATTAACAAATTAAATCGTTTTAAAGTGAAAAAACGAGATTGGAAGTAGGGATATTATGCTTTGAATTCAAACATACGTTAGCCCCTTCTTCTTGGATACATGGTTCATGGTGCATGGTGCATGGTGCATAGGGGTTCTAGCACACTCGCGAGTTCGTGAAATGTCATCAATAATCTGTGTCAGGTTCGGTTAAGCAACTAAACTAACTCCTTGGCAAAGCGGAGAGTATCGCTGGATTTGAAGGCGTAAAAAAATCTTCACTATATCGATGTTAGCGTAATTACCATTTGACGAATTATTGACAAGTAAGGAGGTTGCAAATTGCCGGCGGTTGCTGACTCCCTGCGACTTATACACTGATAAAGATGTCAGGGATATTTATTTCCATCTTTAAGTTTACATGTAGTTTTATCTCTTCTTATCAGCTTGGGTGTTTCTTTTTTGTTTCTGGTGCATCCCTCGCAATTCTTGGATTCAAAAATCGATGATCTTCCTAGCCAACGCAAATCGTCAATGAAAACATTGGGATCGTTCAATTAAACGGGACACTTGATTCACGTAACTGAATCTTTAAATTAACTGAAAACTCAAATTTACCTCAAATCTTACTCAACCGAAAACCTGATCTAACCATGCTAACCAAAACTTTACTCAACCGGTGATCTTACCCGCCGGAAACTCAAATTAATCGACCAATCGTCCGGCCGAATTTTCCTTAACCGGAAATCGACAACCGTAAACTCTGCTCGACCGGAAACGTGCTCCAATCGAAAACTTGACCCAACTGGAAATTCGATCCAACCTGAAATCTGACCGATCCCAAAATTCCAATTCACTGAAACCGTAATCCATCCGTATATGACGTGCCCGGAAATTAACCAAACTGGAAACTGTTTCCAACCCGTAACTTGTCCCTGTCGAAAATTTGACTCGACTGAAAATTTGATTCGATCGTAAATCTGACCGACCGGAAATCACTATCAACGGGATTCGTTATCCATCCAAAATTTCACCTCACCGGAAATCGAAAATCTTAATTTCTACTCGACCGGAAATGTGCCCCAATCGAAAACTTGACCCAACTGGAAATCGACCTGACCGGAAATGTGTTCCAACCCAAAATTTGGTTGTTCTCGGATGGAGAATAATTAATTTCAATACCAATATATCATTGATTTTCCTAAGAAATCGCAAAAAGTTGATATAAGCGATTGATATATCGACTCGTTAACGTTAAAAATCGATTCTACAAGAAAAAATACGAAGGTGTCGGTGTACTACGGTCATATTAGGTGTATTTAGTCATCCATGAATCAAAATTGAACAATTTCAATCTCAAAAAAGCGTCGATTTACCGTAAGGAATCTTAAAAAATCGATATAACCAATTGATATTTTGACTCGTCAACATGAAAACTCGATTTTGCGTATAAAAATAAGAAGGAACCGGTGTTAACAACATTTGTAAGCAACGATAACAACCCCGTAGACACATCAATTCAACAAGAAAATAGCGAAAAATAAGGCGGGAGTTGGACCCCATTGCCCCCCCCCCCCCTACCTCGAAAGCTGTTCCTATATACTCATCTTGAAATTTTTTCCTGAGTTTTCAGTTATTATAAGCTTCCACTTAAATCTTGATTTGATGGTTGAATCTAATACCGAAAAAAGGGCGAAATTTTGGGAGGCTCTTGAACGGATTGTTGATGATCATTATCCTGGACAATGCTGTGTTTTTTGAAGAATTTTCTTTGAAAATGTCGTAAAAAATATATAGGAGTGCTTTCCTTAAAAAGAAAAATGAAATTCGTGGGAATTAAAATACATTGTATGCTTCCGTAATTTTGCTTAAGTATACTGTTCCGATGTTTTATACACATTTGAAGAAAAATTTAGTTTTAATCGACAGGAATAGTCAATAAACAGAATTAAATCATCGCTGTTTTAAGAGGAATTCTGATTTTTGCGAGGGAAAAATCTGTTGGCTTTAAAAGACTTCCTCCACGGAAAATATTCACAAGACGTCTGTATTTATCAAAACGAACTATTAAACTTTTTCCAAATGTGAGGTTATTTTTACGACCTTTTTTTAAACTGCTGGATACTCTGCTCTATGCTGGATACCAGTTTTTTTTTTTTTTTTTTTTGTGTCAAATGTTTAAATTCCAGGATACAATATTTAACGAGACAATGAGATATAATAACGAAATATAACGATTTTAATGCTATTGAAAGGGATGAACTTTAACGTTCAATGAGCCATTAATTTGTCTTATATTGGCATAGGTTTGAAGAAATTGTAAGATTTTAGAAAATGGGACAAATCCAGTAAATAACTGGATTACCCATTCACCCTATCAATTAAGCTTTATGATAGCTTCAAGATGAGCATGAGATGGATTTTAAGGGTGTTCCACAAAATCTGCTGGAAAATGAAGTATTCACTATTCGCGCACCACAATTTGCCATGGTAAGATGTACCAGTGGTTTAGTTATTTTATAAATTTAAGATTCGTTTAAAAGTAAGTGCGACTTTAAAAATCATAAAATTTTGTGAAATTTGTATTTACCTATCACTAGACTGTATCGTCATGTTCGGTTCTGGGTACACTCCCTCAGCAGAGCAAGTTAGATTCACCATGTTACCCTCTTTCGACGTCGTAAAAACAAGCTCTTTTTCAGGAACTGAAACAGAAAAAAAATCGAGATTAACGAGATATAAGTTGTTATATCTGAAAAATGACTTTTAAAAATGAACCAGATAGTAGGTGAGCATATCGATTTTTGGAAAGCACTCTAAGAGAGGGCGTCACTGTAATCAGTGGCGTGGCGTGAATTGCGATGTATCGATTGTTATGCCATTTAAACCTATGAAAAAATATCGATTATCAGGGTGTTCGCAGCGAACACCTTAGTAATCGATTCTTTACCATAGCTTCAAATGGCGAGATATCGATAATCGATCATTCACGCCACGCCACTGACTGTAATCTAAGCAGAGGACCCAGTCTCGTGCATGCCCCCATATTTATGTTATCGGTTGCACAAAAAGTATGCACTCTGAATTGCAAATATGAATTTTTAGCGACTTTGACTTTCTAACATCGTGATCATTAAGTTTTTTTTAACAACTTTTTCAGTTTTTTAAGTGAGTTTTCGCAAGTTTCTAAGGTCACCACAGTTTGTGATAACATGCGATGGACCACGTGTTACTTTTATAGAATACTATGTACATATGCCTCGGATGACGGCATTTTGCGTCTTTTCAAAAGACGATGTCACCGTTGATATTGGACGTCGAAACTTCATACTTCGAGGAACGTAATTTTTTGAAACTTTGTAAGAAACAACCTTCAAAACATAATTCCAGAACATATGCGACTGACTCATGTGTTGCCAGGCTAAAAAAAAGCTCCGTATTAACCTTCAGTCGTTGCCAAATTTTCTTTGATAAAATACGAATTCATTAGAAAAGTTGTGTTTTCATCAAATTTTTCAGACAATTACGCTAGCAATTTAATATAAACTATCTGTCAATTTCAAAGAAAAATATGGTTTCCTCCAAAATACATATTTCAGCGTGAGACATTTGGCAACATTTGAAAGTGCATACGACCTTTTCCCTTGGCGCGGCAGTACATAGAAAGAAGCACGAAGATCGAGAAAAATCATGCGTGTACATGATGAGCTATATTATGTCCCTGTTGTGGGAAAACGTGGAAACTTGCAACTATCGTGACAAGAAAGAACGCCGTATGAATCTTCAGATGTTGCCACATCTCCTTTAATAAAGCACAAATTTTCTCGTTCCAATTTTTCCGACGGTTTTATTCGTAATTCAATATAAAATGTTTGAAAATTTCAAGGAAAAATAATAGCAACCTTCCTCAAAAATGGTCATTTAATCAAGGAAAATTTGGCAACGTCTGAATGTTCATATGTCGTTCTTTCTTAGCACAGCAGACAATTAGTTGAGCCCATTTCGCATAGCTCCTGATTGAGTGCGTTCTCGCGCGATGCACGTCCCTCCTGATTAAAAAGCGCGTAAGCTCAATGAAAACTCAATGTGAATATGCGATTCCTACTTTGCGATGAATCGATCGATGTGTCATTCATACCTTTATAATCGATTCCTTATCATAGATTTGAATGGGACTGTATCGATAGTCGATTAATCGCGCCTCGGCACTCCAGAGCACGGCGGTAAACAAAGCGCGCTCAATTACACATTACACTGCACCGCGACCGACCGGAGGAAGGGCTTAACGGTTCTTCCGTTAACCCACATCGGTGCAACGCGCCTAAGAATTATATTAATCAAAATCTGCATCGTGTACTCTGACTCCCGCCGTCTGCTGCACCTATGTTCAGTGCATTTCGTTTCAGGATCAAGCCGATTCCGCCGCAATGATAGACTCTTGTCACAAAAACGCATTGCGAACTAATGGACCACTAAAGCACAACGTTGAATCTATGAGAATGTAAAAATACCCAACTTAGAAATTTAGAAATTCCCAAATTTTGTTAAAAATGCCAAATTTCCATAAAAGCCGTTGAAGGAGGCTCATGCATGTCAACTTTAGCCTTTAAATTGTCCCAAAGTAATCTGACTGTATTTTGAAATTCAGAAATACAAAATCTAGCTCAGTTTCGAAACGACACATGCACCATTAGTTTTCCTATACGCATAGGTGTTTTTATGAATGGGCTATAAATTGTCGTTCTTAATTGCAAAAATATAGTCTAATTGGCCTTTGGGACCAAAAGGCGTTTTCTCAAACCAATTTCTTTACCTACTGCATACTTTTTTGTGTTTTTGGTAAACAATTTTTCCGAGCTGCCGTGTTTTCATTCTCAATGATTCAATTAAGAACCACAATGTATGACTTCTAATCGAAATTTTACATAAAATACTACAGGCGCATTGAAAAGACTTAAAATTTGGAGATACTGATAGACTGTGGTTTTGGATGTCCCTCGGATCGACAGTTTTAGTCTTAAGGCCATTACCATCAATAGCTAGACTCAGCTCAAAGCAATACTGTGGAAACGCCTTCAAAGTTTTGTGTATGCAATGAGGACAGCCATTGAGCATGTATAGTTTGCATCAGCGCATTGATAAAAATGTCACCCTGTGTCTCCGATCCAGATTACCATTTGATGCCACTGTCAAAACGCCTTCATAGTTTTGTGTATGCAATGGGGACATCCATCAAGCACGTATGTTTGCATCCAAACGTTGTTAACCATATATCGAGTTATTTGCCTAACGCATAGGTTGATCTCCATGCTTAATTTGACTTACGTTCAATATGGTTTTTTCGCGAGTGTGAAGTTTGAATTTACTGATTTCTTAAAGAAAAAACCACGCGCGTTCATATTTCTACTGGGTATTTCTTATAAGAAATATTTTATCTAATTTTTTTTTGTTATAACTTTAATTTCCAGCCCACAATTACCATATTTGAGTGTATAGAAATTAAAATTATGAGAATGATGTGTAATATAGTAATTTTGATACCTTTTGAATTTAAATTATTAATCTTCATAATTGATTTCGTGAAGTTTCTGTGAGTTGGTAAATAATTTCTAATTTTTCAAACACCTCTTTCCTAGAGTCTTGAAGTTTCACAAAACAATAAAGAAAAACACAGTAGATCCACGCTCATACTTTCAGCATCACGGTCCAACCTACCTTCTCCTCGATGGATTCGCTCTATTCTAATAAATATTATAAAAGATGACGATGACATCAAATTACCCCTCGGCGCGCGGCTCAGAAATTAATCACCTCTTTTTTATTGCTCCTGCCTTGAGCTCGTCTTTCCAATTGTTCCACGTGAACGCGGCGATTATTCAGCTCCTCCTTCCCTTTTCCTTGCGGTTTTCGAAGATATTCCGCCCGGCCCGGCCCAGCCGTGGTTTCACGCCCGAACACGGATGACTCGGCGGGAAATGGATAAGCATATCTCTCAATAATCCGGCAAAACGCAGTTTAAACAAGATTTTCCCAATTGCCAGCCCAAGCGTGGATACTTATCCACCGCCCAATCAAGATGCCAAATTCGCGGAAAAACTCCGTTTCCCGTTGATTAATCGCCCGGTCGAGAGATGGGTTTTTTTATCGAAAATAACGGTAATACCTGCGGGCTGATTATTTAAACTGATGGACAAAGCTATGGGGCTTGTACAATTTGACTTGTATGTATCACATATTTCCAAGGTTTTTCGGTTTTCGGCTACACATAATGATGAAAACAAAAGTTGAGCTATAAGCCGATTTTACAAATATGTGTACCATGTTAAAGGAAAATCAATGTAAATACACCTAAAATACTCTTGCACATTGTTTTACTTTATTAAAGCATGACCCGAGTCGCAATCATTGCTTATATTTGTGAAATCGGCTAATAGCTCGACTTTTGTTTTCAAGTATTTCCTGTTCACGGAAAAAGAAAATGGGTTATCCCTAGAATTGTGATGCTATACCCACATTTGTTGGTTGATATGGAAAATTCAAATTAATTGTGGTATAGTACCGCAAAATTTGAGTTAGTAACCTGATTTATTGGGGGTACTATACCTCAATTCATTGGAAATGCCCGTATCACCCACCAACCTCTACCTCTTTTTTTCCGTGCGTTGTGTCTCGTTCTCCTCTCCAATGTTTATATATACACACTGTTTCGTTCTTTCAGTTATTTGTCCTCACGGAAAAAAATAGGTAGCATTTACCAAACTCTGGTTAAAAACGGCACAACCAGACAGTATGGTGACCTCCACCAAAACGATTGTCACGATAAGGAAAAATCTTGTTATTTTCACGATAATTTTGGACGTTGGACGTTTGGACGATCACGTAATTAATGGACGTTCCTTATAGATAAAAGAGACAAATAGGAGATGGAGCAATTTTAAAGGAGGAGGTGGATGGGTGCAATGGACGAGGGATGTAAGTAAGAGACAACTAATGGCAACCCATGAGATGTAGTCAGTGCATAATTCACCCCCTTAGACTATAGCAACCACCGGTTTTGACCAGTTGAATTTGACTGATAGCTGACGTTGCACAGCGTGATGCGTGGTGTGATGCTCGTGAATTCTTATGAAATATCCTGGAATTCAAAAATTGGATCCAATCCTCAATCAAATGGACTGCGTTCAACAGAAAGCCACATCAGCTATTGCCTTTAACTGGGCAATTTAGTTTTTGACGTGAGAACGTTTGTGCGGATTCCATTGAAAATTTTAAAGAATTTTCTTTGCGCTATGGAGGAGATGCACTGAAATTTTCACAAAAATCCGCACAGCCGTTTTCAGGTGAAAAATTAAATTGTCCAATTAAATTCGGCAATAGCTGATGTGGCTTGGTTCCTTTCTGTTAAACGCGGTCCAAATCGTCCTGCAAAGTCCTAGAGAGCCACATTAATTTTTCCATGGCATTTAATAATTGGACGCCTTGAAATCAAAAGAACCATATCCATTCCAACATGAACCCTGAGATCTATGATAATGCAGGCATGGCAGGGCTCGGGTCACAATGGATATAGTTCCTTTTGTTACCAATGCATCGATTTTTCTTTTTTTGTATCATCGTGATTCTTTACTATCTTTTAATTTTGTTCATGTCTCTTTCAGTACGTATGATTAGACGCAGCTGTAGCCAATAAACATGTTCATTTAGA